TCTGTAAAAAAACATGATGATTTGACATTTATTTTGATTTTCAAAACTTAAAAATATCAACTTTCAAATTGGAAAAACTAAAAAAAAAAAAAAAAAAAATGTGTAAAAAAAACAACTATTTTTTTTTGAAAAAATTGAATTTTTTATTTGTGCAAAACTAACAATTTTGTGCCTATAAAGGAGTATGATGATGGAATATCGATGTGCAAAATTTTTTTTTAAAAAAAAAAATTTAAATGAAAAAAATGATAAATTTTTCAGTTTTAAAATTGAAAAAAAACTGTTAATGTTCTCAGTTTTATTGGATAGTTGAATTAAACCAATAAGTAGAATGGCAAAAACGTTTAATATCATGTTCTATTTTTTTTATTATCAGTTAGTGAAACAATTATCTGGAATATTATTATGCAAAATTAATAATGTTCTTAGTTTTAAAATTTGAAAAAAATTGATAATATACTCAGTGTACGGGGAGGAAATAATTCTCCTCGTATAATCCTGTTGACCAAGTCCACGCTCCTCCGTACGACGTCGCTTTATCACCTAAAAACACAAACGTGAGCTAGCCGGCGGGCGTGTGCCGGAAATCTCTCCGATGCCTAAGTCAGTAAGCTTGACAAATAGACAAAGTTTTATGCTCTCAGAAAGAATTGTGTTCAATTAATTACCTCCTCCAAGGTGGTGCTTGTGAGCTTTTATAGGTTTCGAGTGGCATAATCCTAGTAGGACTTTTATTTCTCCATGCAGAGTCCTCCTAGGATTCATATTCCTAAGGATAATGCTTATCCTTTTACACCCTCCCCCACTGCTTAAACCAAGTGGGATGGTTTTTACCACGGCCGAACTTCTATGTGACCGAAATAACACTGGCTATGCTGAGCCACAGAGTAGGCCGAACTATCCTTAGTTCGGTTTTCTCCCGTTCAACCATGGTATGCTGAGACCAAGCTTCTGAGTAGCAAGCTCCGACCGATCTAACAATAATACACCGCCACCGGACTAACTGTGAGACCGGACTAACATCAAGTTACCTTCAGACCGGAGTAGCTTTACACCATCTTGGGCCGAAGTAATCACACCTCTCCTAACCGAAGTATCCATACCTCTCCCGGGCCGGAGTAACTGTGTTACTTCCGGGCCGGAATGTTATTACGGCCTTTTACTGAGTCCTTCACACTTTGGGCCATAAAGTCCATCTTACAGCTCGGTCCAATTTTCTCCAAAAATTACCCTTTCAATTGCCCCTTAATTCCATCTGCACCGCGTGATTGGGATTACCAGTCTACCAACCGAGCTGAAGTTTATTAAGCCTCTCCAGCCGAGCTAAAAACCCTTTAGCTTTTCCAGCCGAGCTAATTTTACGTCGGGCTTCACTCTGTTCGGTCAAAACGTCTCTTCAATCACAGCGACTGTAGCGCTTCCCATTCCAATGACACGTGGCAGATTCTGATAGGCTGAGGACGGCTGTCACGCCGTCTTTCGTACTTCGTGAATTTTGAACAGTCCCCAAATTTTGGGCTTTCTAACAAAAACACGCCCTAAGGCTAGGTCTCTTCACCTTTGTCATTTCTTCATCTTTTCTCTCTGTGTTCTTGCTGTTCGTGCTCTTTCTTTACTGCAACAGTCTTCATCTTCAGTCCCTCCTTATTCAATTCTGGTAAGCAAATCCACTTTCCCTTCATGTTTTTGGTTTCACATTCGTTTTATGCAACTGTATATCTTGTTTCGTATGTTTTTTGCAAACATTTTGTCCATTTCTGGTTTACTTCTGTATTTTCATGAAAAAACCATAGAACTTGTACGTGTATGAACTGTTATGTAGAAAAACCAGTCTTAGATCTAAAATCACATAGCAACCGAACTAGGATCCTGTTTGCCCCAAAGACGTAGATCTCTGTAGTCAATAACCGAACTAGAACTAAAATCACCGAGTTTTGAATATATCGCTATCTTATTTAAGTCACATTACTTCTCTAACATATCACTTCAAATCAAATTAATATTTCATAAGAAGTTAAAAAATGTACTTATTTAAAATATTTCAAACAACTCTTAAAGAATGTTTTTGTTCTGTTCTCTTGTTGTTGATTATGATGAATGAATGAATACTATACTATAATTTTTTTCATTTTTTATTTTCATTTTATATCAAAGGTTTAGACCAGTTTGCATGTATGTCTACTAATCTCGAATTCTTGAAGTAATGATGTCTACTAAACTCAAATTCTTGAAATTAACGACCGATCAGATAACTTTTTAGTGATACGTTGGATTATCAAATTTTTACTGGCGAATTTGAATACTATACTATCATAATCATACAATATAGGATACTTTTCGACCGACTTGAACATATGACAAAAATGAGATAATTCTTGGGACCATGGCCAATCATCCCGTGATTTTGTTGTCCCTTCCCTTGTAGATTAACATGAAGAACTTTCTGACATCTATTTGGACCACTTTAAATGTCTTGTGAAGAAGAAAAATCTCTGTACTATGAATTTGTATCAACGGCAAAAGTTTTGAAACTCAAAAATATTGAGACACAATTATATAATTGTATTCTCAATAGTAAGATGTTGTGAAAATTGTGAAAAAAATAGACATTTCGAGAAATGATTGTATGACAGAAACTACATCAACTATAAGTGAGAATTTGAAACACAAATTTTGAGACACAATGGTACAACTGTATTCTCAACCATAAGATATTGTAAGAGTTTTGAAAAATAAAAATTTCTATGTTGGTCATAAGATTGAAAATGTATTAAAGAAAAAAAAATTAAAAATTAAAAATTAAAAATAGAGATTCATACCGTTAATGTGGGCAACATAACAACACATGCAAACACTACCTCCAATTCGGTTACTGCTCGTAGTGTGATATACCTCATGAAATTTGTGGTGGTCAATAGAGTGACACAGCTCATGAATTTTGTGTCCATTAGCTATATGGGTCTCGTGAACCAATTGGGACCCAACTTCCCTACAAACAAACAAACAAACAAAGCTCCATAAAAAAATAAAAATAAAAATATTTAAAAAAGATAAAAATAAAAATAAAAATAAAAATAAAAAGGAGGGCAAAGCCTCTCTTTACAATAATGCTAACTGAACAAAATTGAAATATAGAAAAGAGAACATATTCAAGATGAGTTTCAGCCATACAATGTATTTTTTGTGTATTTCTTATATTTTAATTTTCTACACTTAGGCCTCGTTTGGCAAGTAGTTTTTTTAGTCAAAAAGTCAAAAACTTATATCAAAAAGTCAAAGATTCCCTTTTCTCTCTATTTTTTGCACATCTTTTCGTAAAAAGTCAAAAAGTCATCCCAAACATACTAGCTTTTTTTACATTATATGTTAACCAAAATGCTTAAAAGTTATTAAAAAAGTATGTTCCCAAACGAGACCTTAGTACTACTGTTATCTTTATCTACCTTTCTATTTCAACATTTTCCTTCTTTCTATGTTTGTTTTGCTCAAAGAAAAAGAAAAATAGGAGGGAACGATCAACGCGTGACAATTCTCTTTAGATGTGATAATAAGAGCCCTTACTTGTCAGGAAGGTAAGTACAAAGGGTCTACAAGGGCCCAACAACATGGTGGTACCACAAACACGAGGGATTCATAGACGTTTTGTCAATGCTAATTTGAGCTATATGTCATGTACCGACTCATTAGGGATGCGAGCTTTACACCAAGCACCTTGCAAGCGCATTAGTTTGTGAGTGGCAAGGCAGGCAGGGTAGATTTCTATCGTATCTCCTAGGTTGGTCCTTGGGCATAATGTACGAGGTATGCAGTACCACTCGTGAAGTCAGCTTCTCGAGAGTATGGCAAGCGACCAGTTTGTGACAAGTGGTATCAGAGCCAGCTTAGGAGCACTGTGATGAGGATGGTATGTGTGACTTACACCAAGTACCTTCATTGTGGGGTCCTCACCAAGGGTGGTGTCCGCACGGGATGGGTTCCCATGAGTAGGGGAATGAACAAGTATAGAGGCAGGGAGGGTAATGTCCTCCTGAAGAGGGCATCAGGGTCAGGGACTGGCGGTGGTAGCATGTCACGTACTGACTCACTAGGGATACGAGTTCTACACCAAGCACCTTGCAAACGTATTAATTTGTGAGCGGCAAGGTAGATTCCTATCGCATCTCCTGGGTTGGTCCTTGGGTATAATGCACGGGGTACGTAGTACCACTGCTGGAGCCAGCTTCTTTGGAAGATGATAAACACCTAGTCCGTGACATATAGCTTGATCTCAGCCCTAAAGATAGTCTCGAGGAGGATACAATGTTTTTTGTGTCTTTGGTGGCAAGGAAATGAAAAGGTCTAGAAACAGAAACCAATTACAGAACCAGATACAAATTACAATTCTCTCACAAAAAAGTAGATCTAACTTTTTTGTGGCTTCTGCGTGAATAACATGAAGAAGGCTTGTTTGGTCATCTTGTAAAAGAGTTAGAAAAGTTTTCACTTCCCTTTCCTATACAGAAACTACGGTAGCGTTTGGTAAAACTTTCTAAATATGATTTGAGAATAGGAGTTGTATTTTGAGTTTGTGAGTTTTAAAATTATGATTTAAGTGTGAAAAATTTGTTTGGTAAATGAGTTTTGAAAAAAGTTTTGAATTGAGTAGAAAATTTTTGATGTGACATATGATATTTGATTCAAAAACTTACAACTCATAACTAAACACACAACTCAAAATTCTATTAAAGTTCATAAATTTTTTTTAAAAATTTGGAAAATATTTTTTGTTGAATATATAAAAATCAACATGTGCCAATTGCAAAAAATAAAAATAAAAATAAATAAAAAAAAAAAATTGCACTGTTCCGGTCAAACGGCTGGATGACCAGTTAGCCAAATTTTCACACCTTCAACCGAATTTTCAAAAGTGAGGGTAGAATTAATTTTTGAAAGCTGCAAACAAACATCACGTAAGAACCAATGACTGGAACTTTTGTTCCAAATTCTACCAAACAGAGCCTATATTGAAAGGGCTTGTGATATAAAAGCCAACCCATCTCAACCATACTTGACAGAGCTTTTCTAAAGGGATATGATGAGAAGTATCAGAATGAGTTGGTATCTGATAAATATAATTGTTCTGAGTTTCACGTTTAGTAGTCTTTCAGAGGCTCAGCATGAGAAGAAGCTTCCCTCTGCTGTTGTTGTTGGCACTGTTTACTGTGACACATGCTTCCAAGAGCATTTCTCCAAGACTAGCCACTTCATTTCAGGTTCTTTCTTACAATTCTTACCCTTTTTTTCTTATATAAAATCTTTGCTTTTAGTTTTTGGTTTTTTGTTTTTCATTTCTCCGTTTGTTTCAGCAAAAAACATTTTCTTAGAATCTTAATATCAACTTCCTAAACAAGACTAGTCTAAAAAAACGTTTTTTTAGATTTTTTTGATAAGACTAGTCTAAAAAACGTTTTCACCTTTAAAAGAAATAAAACACTTTCCGCTCAAATTTACTCATTTTCCATGACCATAGAAAATGTTCTCTCTCATAGGAAATACCAGAAAATGCAAAAAGCATTTTCCACTGAATAAGATTGAGCGTTAAATTCTGAAAATTCGGGTTACTTTTCCGATCTAGTTCTAGTGGCCTAAAAGCTGTGCTCTCAACATATTTTGTGCTCAGGAGCATTGGTTGCAGTAGAATGCAGAGGCACAAGAAGTTCAACACCAAGTTTCCACAAGGAAGTGAAAACAAATGAGCATGGAGAATTCAAAGTTCATCTACCTTTCTCGGTTACCAAACAAGTCAAGAAAATCAAGAAATGTTCAGTAAAATTAATCAGCAGCAGTGAGCCCCATTGTGCCGTGGCATCAACATCAACTTCATCTTCACTCCATCTCAAGTCAAGAAATCAAGAAACTCACATTTTCTCAGCTGGGTTTTTCACTTTCAATCCTCCCAAACAGCCCAAATTATGTAAGGCATTCAATTCCAAGAAATACTCAACTCTATTATCAAGTGGAATGGTATCTCAGCAGCAAATTTTCAGCCCAATTCCACAAATACCCCTCATCCCTTCGCCACCACCGGCTTTTGGAATTATTCCATTGCCGCCAAATCCACTTCAACCGCCTTCAATCGTGCCACCAAACCCCCTTTTGCCTCCACCGCCTTCAATTCTTCCTCCAAACCCGCTTCAACCACCGCCTTCAATATTTCCTCCTAACCCATTTCAGCCTTCGCCGCCACTTTTCCCTCCAATTTTACCACCTGTCCCGGTTTTAACTCCTCCTTCTCCACCACCTCCGGCAATCCCAATTATTCCTCTACCTCCAGGATTCCCTGGAATTCCACCGGCCTCTCCCTTGCCTTGATTAAACACACATCTTTATATCAATGAATAATTCTCCAATAATAATGGTTCCGTTTTGTTGTTTTTTTTTTTTTGAAAATTGTTTTGGATATGATAATGTGTTGATCAAGTGGGACTACGTGTAATTCAGTGGTGTCACACCACTGAACTTTCAAGTTTGGTTTAAATATATATGAAATTTTATTTAGTAATTCTCGATTTTAACAAAATGATCCCAGTATTTGGAGTTATTCATTGTTAATGGTGTCAATTTTAACAAAATGACCCCAGTAAATCTAGATAAGTATCACATATATTTGGAACTATTCATTGTTTAGTGGTGTCAATTTTAGTTCAGTGTTCGTTTATTCATTTGTTCCATCAATACTTTATTCTCTAACAACCATTGTTGCATTGCCTTTGATACATTTCTTCATTTGTTCTTTCTCTCCCTCTGAATGACCTCACTGAGAGGAATTCCTGACTACGCCACTGTTGATGGAGATGAATGGATTCGGTGTTTGTTAAATGTGTAATGTGAATTTTATCAATGAAAAGTTGTGGATGCAACATTATTGTGCTTATAAATCAAAGTGTTTTGCTTTGACACTATTTAGATTGTAATGAAACAACAATATTTTGGAAACATTGCATAAGATAGTTATGTGTTAAATTTTCATAATTGATTTAGAAGTTTCTTTGAGGTTAATTAGTATTGGTTGGTTTTCTTTGTCTTGATATACATCAGCAATGCTTCAGCCAGATTGTGACCTAAACAAATCAAGAATTAGCTTGGTTAATGAAACATTTATTTACCACAATTTATTCTAATTTGAGTATCACCGTTGTGCGAGACACGGCCTTCTTCTATTCTCTCCCCATTGAATTTTAAATTTAAAAAAACAAAAAAAAAATGCTTAAATAGTAGAACTTGTGCAATAAAGTGCCTTTGTTGTGTATACCAAGTTGCAAATTGAGTCTTGGGAAAACCAAATTTTATATGAGTAGAACTTTTATTTTATTTTATTTTTGGTGTTCACATAAGAATTCAATACAATATTAATTAATATCATCTAATAAAATTTATATGGTGTTACCATTTAAAATTTAAGGAGCATTTACACACAAATCCTAATTTATAAACTTATATTTCATTAAATTCTAATTAAGATTTTTTTGACATTTAAGTCCCATTAAATTTTTAATAGTCATAATTGCCCTTCAAACAATGATTATTTATCATTTACGATTATCTATAAAAAAACATGATGATTTGACATTTATTTTGATTTTCAAAACTTAAAAATATCAACTTTCAAATTGGAAAAACTAAAAAAAAAAAAAAATGTGTAAAAAAAAACAACTATTTTTTTTTGAAAAATTTGAATTTTTTTTTGTGCAAAACTAACAATTTTGTGCCTATAAAGGAGTATGATGATGGAATATCGATGTGCAAAATTTTTTTTAAAAAAAAACTTTAAAAATGGAAAAAAATGATAAATTTTTCAGTTTTAAAATTGAAAAAAAACTGTTAATGTTCTCAGTTTTATTGGATAGTTGAATCAAACCAATAAGTAGAAGGACAAAAACGTTTAATATCATGTTCTATTTTTTTTATTATCAGTTAGTGAAACAATTATCTGGAATATTATTATGCAAAATTAATAAGGAAAATTTACCCATAAGTCCTAGTTTCTGAAAAGTTGAACCATTTAGTCCTAAAAGTTTTCTTATGCTCCATTTAGTCCCATTTGCACATCAATCTAATGTTCGAAACATTAATTTGATGTTCGAAACATTAATCTGATGTTCGAAATCTAATGTTCGAAACATTAATCTGATGTTTGAAACATTGTAATGGGAACTTTCAGTCTATAAGAAAACTTTTAAGACTAAACAGTGTATAAGTTATTAATTTGGGATTTATTGGTGCATCCCCCAATTAATAATATTCTTGTCAGTAAGCTTGACAAATAGACAAAGTTTTATGCTCTCAGAAAGAATTGTGTTCAATTAATTACCTCCTCCAAGGTGGTGCTTGTGAGCTTTTATAGGTTTAGAGTGGCATAATCCTAGTAGGACTTTTATTTCTCCATGCAGAGTCCTCCTAGGATTCATATTCCTAAGGATAATGCTTATCCTTTTACACCCTCCCCCACTGCTTAAACCAAGTGGGATGGTTTTTACCACGGCCGAACTTCTATGTGACCGAAATAACACTGGCTATGCTGAGCCACAGAGTAGGCCGAACTATCCTTAGTTCGGTTTTCTCCCGTTCAACCATAGTATGCTGAGACCAAGCTTCTGAGTAGCAAGCTCCGACCGATCTAACAATAATACACCGCCACCGGACTAACTGTGAGACCGGACTAACATCAAGTTACCTTCAGACCGGAGTAGCTTTACACCATCTTGGGCCGAAGTAATCACACCTCTCCTAACCGAAGTATCCATACCTCTCCCGGGCCGGAGTAACTGTGTTACTTCCGGGCCGGAATGTTATTACGGCCTTTTAGTGAGTCCTTCACACTTTGGGCCATAAAGTCCATCTTACAGCTCGGTCCAATTTTCTCCAAAAATTACCCTCTCACTCAGTTTTACCAAATATGACTTATTGGTTCAAAAACTCTTAAATATAATTTGAATTACCATAATATTTGTAAGTAGGACTTTTTAAGTAATTAACTCAAAATTTAATCATGTCGTCTAATGATCTCAAAAAATTTAATCTAACTTTGTGTTAAAAACCATTTAAAAAGCCTTGCAATAACAAGGAATAATTCACTTGATTAATGTGTGAAATCATATAAAAAAAATTGGCTAAAACAGCAAAATTATAAGTTCCTTTAGTTTTTTAATTGAATGACTTGCGAAGTTGTATAAGCATTACCACTTAAACAATTACGAGAAATAAGTAACATGTCTAAATTGAGAATTGTCTTAAAATATTTGACATTTATTAAATAAAATTTCAATAATTATTTAATCAGTTTAAATTTAACTAGACTCGCCATCCACCCCTCCCTATAAAAAATTTAAACAAATTATAAGTTAGTAAGATGTGGAGAAATTATTTGTGAATATGCAATTTTTGCTGTGATTTTTTTTATACAGAAAAAAAAAAATTACACCCCTATTTGTTTGTAATTATTTTTAAAGATAAACTAGTCTTACCTCTTTTAGAATTTAGAAAAAAATACAATAAATCTCACAAATTTAACATAATTACATTGAGCACCCTTAATGTTTTAATTCATGTAACACTTGATCTCATTTTCATAAAAAATTCGTTAATCGTATGAATAAAAATATAACATTGTCACTTCTTTTATATTAAAATGTATATTTTATATGGTTTATATTTATATCTTCATACCATCTATATTAGTTTTGGTCACTTTAACTTAAAAGTAATTATCTCAAAATTGTAAGACTTGATTTTGTCCAAATCTCAAGAAGATCAATGTAATTTGGGATAATTTCATATCAGTGGGGGTTCGGAAAAATATTTTTAAATTAGTGGTAAATATTATAAATATTAACTTATAATTACTTTTGAGGAGATCTGTGATATTTAAATTTTTTATATAATTTACCATATTTTTAATTCAATAATGTTATAAATACAGCAATCAAACATAAAAAAAAAAACCTTTTATAAGGGATGAATCCTACATATGAGTCCCGCACATATCGATCCCACCTTTCATGAGAGAATTATATCCGATTATGTATTTAATTTTTATACACACTTAGGCCTCGTTTGGCAAGTGACTTTTTTAGCCAAAAAGTTAAAAAGTCACTAAAAAAATCAAAAAGCCAATAATCCATACCAAAAAGTCAAAGATTCTCTTTTCTCTCTACTTTTTGCACATTTTTTCGTAAAAAGTCAAAAAGTCATCCCAAACATATTAATTTTTTTTAACTCATATTTTAACTAAATAATCAAAAAATTACTAAATTAGCTTGTTCCAAACGAGGCGTTACTCTTTTTAATTTTCAATACTGATTTGTAATTTTACTTAAAATCTACGCCAGGCCTACTTTTTGGCCCAAAAGAGAAGTCTGTGCTTGGTTCTAATTGGAAGCCATGTTAAAGTTGGAACCTGACTTTTTCCCTTTTTTTTTCTTTTTTTTTGGGGGGGGTGCTAGTACTTCGAAACCTTGCTTTAAAATTAAGGAAAGAACAAAATTACTACAAAATAATAGAGAAAATTTAATTACAACTGGAAAAAACAAAAATAATTATATACAAAAAGAAGAAGAAGTGAAATTCATGATTTAAATTATTAAAATGACATCTTTTATTTTTATTTTCCTCTCTCCTCCTTTTACTCTCTCTAATCTCTTCTATCTTTCCTCTCTTTTCAATACTATAATCATTATAACCATCATCTTCTAATGCCAATCACCAGTAATTACTATGAAAAACTTTCTTCATAAGAAAATATATATTTAATAGTGGTTTGAGATGATTTAAATAAGTGTATTTTTTTATTTTTTATAAAATATGAGTTAGGTATGGATTAGATTTAAAATGATATGATAGAGAGGTGATGTGACTTAATTAAGATGACGTGACTTAAATAAGATAGTGATTTTTTGACTTTTTTTATTTTTTTAAGTTATGACAAACAAGACTTTATTCTCTTTTTAAGACTGTAACCACTATAATCGTTCTCTCTCAATTTGGATTATCAATGATTACTATCATAAACTTTCTTTACAATAAAATATGAAAAATGTTAGGAATCCAAATATTTTATTATATGTCTCACATGGATATGAGACCCACACCATTACTCTTTTTGAAGTTGTAACAACTATAACCACCATCTTTCAATCCTGATTACCAAGGATTACCATCGTAAACTTTCTCTACAAGGAAATATATATTTTCCTATTTTTAAGACCGTAACCACTATAATTATCTTCTTTCAATCTCAATTATCAATTATTACCATCGCAAAACTTTATCCACAAGAAAATATATATTTATTATCTTTCTAAGACTGTAATCACTAGACCACCGTCTTTCAATCTCGATTACCAGTGATTACTATTGCCAAACTTTATCCATAAGGAAATATAAATTTAATATCTTTTTAAGGTTGTAACCACTATGATCACCCTCTTTCAATTGTAATTATCAATGATTACCATGGCAAATTTTCTCGGTAAGGAAAGAGAGTGAGTGATAATTTCATCATGTAATGAACTCATAAGGCCA